CAAGAACTCATTGCAGACTTCCCCACACACCACCAGACTGGGAAATCCTGCAAAAAGATGAACAGGCTGCTAGCTAAGACCTAGACAAAAACTCACGGCCAAGACAGAAACCAGCAACAAAGGAAGTACAGGAGAAACGAGTGGGAAGCTAAACTTCATTGCTAGAAAGGCAATGAGGCACCTACAACAGTTTCCTTAGAAATGCTTCTGGTTTCATGCACATGGGGTGCGGTGAGCTGCAGGCAGCCAGAGGTACTGTCTTAGAACTGATACTAAAAACCAAGGAGATTTTAAATGCACAGGACCAGCTCAAGGGAACAATTCCTGCACAAAGTTGTAGAAGTTGCACCTGAAAGATGGCACCAGAATCAGTCTCTCAGGAATAGGAAACAAGTGTTGTTTATAGCTAAGGGAGAAAAGGCAGGAACTTCCAGGGAGAAGTGCCAAAAAAAAATTCCTGATATCAAAAGAGTATTAGAGTATGCTGAGTTAATATGAAGCCAAGGCAGATGAAAACCAAAACTTAGGCACCCCAGCACCCTACACTGACTGAAGGAGAAAACCTGTCTGAATAACTGAACTTTAGTTGGACACAAGGGAACAGAGAAAGAACGAGGTAGCAAAGAGCCCAGACCAGAATAAGAAAGGGTGAGAGAGCACTTATGCCATGTAACTCAGTATCCTCCAGAAGGACAAGCTACAGGGTGCAGTGTAATCTCTTGACGGTATTTTTGTGGACACAAATCCCATATCACATAATTTACAGGATGAGTTTATACTTCTGCTTGCTTTCATTTTAGGAAAAGAGTGGACGCATGCAGCTGCCCTGGTGTCTTTGATCTGGGCCATCTAATTAGAAACTACCAGTAAGGGAGGGAAATGTCACTGTAGAGAAACCACCAATTGATATCTTTGAGGTCGCTCTGCCAAATGGCTGCAGCATGGAACAGATGAGCCACTAAATATAATAAGACTATAACTGAGCCACTGAAACACTTTTTTAATAAATTAAGAGGTCAAGAGATTTCAGCAAAGAGACTACTCTTACACTGTTTGGCTTCCAGCACAACACAGGTGTTAGAACCTCATCTTGTAAATCCCTCATGGAACCAGGCCACAGCTAGCACAGTAACAAATTTACAGCAGAAGATAAATGAAATAGCTAATTAAAAGATGCACACATCTGGATTGTTGCAAGAAGAAAAGGCCCTGAGAAACTAGAAAGGATTCAGCATAATGCCACTAGCAGAGTGAAGAGTCTGCAGCATAGCAGGGAGCAAGCTGGGCTTATTCAGCTTGAAGAAAAGATGCATAAGAGGGATTGAACACTCGTCTGAGACGACCTAAAAGGGGCCATGGAGGTTTAGAGATGATGAGTCAGGCTCTTTTTTACGGGACACAACAAAAGGACAAGTGGTAACAGGCACCACTTACAGCAAGGGAAATTCTGGTTAGGTAAGAGGAAAAACTGCACACATGCTTCCCCTCAAGGCAGGGTTCAGCACTTGCCACGGGTCCCCAGAGCAGCTGAGGAGCCTCCACCCTGGTAGGTGTCAGAACTCACCCGAACAAGGCTCTGAGCCACCTGAGCTAGTTTTGGGGTGAGTTCTGCTGTGTGCTGGCGGTGGGACTAGGCAATCCAGAGGTCAAAATGGTTGTCAAAGGAAGAGCAGAGAGAAAGATTATGTATAGAGTTTCTTTTGCCTTTGTACTTCCTAAGCCTCTATTAGCAGCTACTTGTAGTCAACTGTCAAATGCATAACAAATTTTGCATCCTTTGGCAAACAGTTCCATTGCTCAGTTACAGAAACACCCCCTCCTTTGACTCGCTTAAAACCTGCTCCCTGCCTCTTTTTTAACACCTGGTGTTATAAAGAAAGGAAAATCAGTGGGTGATTCCTGTTTCCCCCACCCTTCTCCAAGCTGCTCTGGTAACAGACCTGAAACATCCATATCCATCCTCAACTCTTTGCCAGGCTGAAGATTCCAGCCCTACTAAGGGGTTCTTTTTGTACAGAACTATTCTACACCTCTGACCACCTTTGCTGTCCCTCTCAAGATATTTCCAATTCTGGCATCTTGATTTGGAGATAAGAGTGAAGAGATGGGCACAGAACTGTGGTGTTCAAAATACTGGTGAGTCATGGACAGTTATGATTTCTGATGTTCACCACAACCAAGCATTAAGCCAACAATTGCATGGACTTCTATAATCAAAGTCTCACTTCAGAGAGGTTACAATTAGTTCAGAGTTATTGTTTTAGATGCAAATTTTTAATTATTTTTCTTTATGAACATTGTTTTACATACATTTTGCTGTTCTACTGCCCACTCATTCACTGCCATTAGGTCTTTCCGAAATTATTCACAAGTCAACTCCCATGCTATTATCCTGAATAACTTTCTATCATCATCCAATTTTCTCACCTTACCAAGCTGTACTCCCAGGTCACTTGGGAATATACTGAACAGTGTGTATTTCAGATTAGGCCCCTGTGATCTGACCACAGATGACTTCCCTTTGCTGTAAAAATGGGATTAATTCCCATTAATGGGAATTAATGGGGTTAATTCCCACCTTTCATTTACTATTCTCTAGTAATTCTTCACTCAAGAAAACTTTTTTTTCCTAAAATTACATTATTTCAGCCTAATTTAAAGATTTTGATGAGAAAATCTTGTCAAATTCTTTAAATCCAAGTAAACTGTACTGGCCAGACCTGCCTTATCCACAAGTTTGCTAAGGCCCTCAAAACCCTCCGGTTTTACAGGACCATATTTGCATTTACAAAAGCAGATGCTGGCAGTTTTTTTAGTACCCCCTTCATTGCTTTCCCCATTATACTGTGTACCCTCTTGCTCAGATAACTCTATTGTTCCATGCTTCACTCACGTGGGGGGAAGCTAATTTGGAGCCCTTTTTGAGAATGAGCATTGCATTCGTTACTTCTAAATCTCAGCACTGGGATGATTTCAGACAGGAGGTTTTGCTGTTCTGTACGGAACTCCATTGTAGTTCAGTCATTAGCACAGAGCAAAGGCTGCCTGGGAATGGGCAGATGGACCATCTTCCTGTGACTTGCCAAAGCCACACGCTCTCCATCAGGCGATAGGGCTCCAGGACAGTGCCGGACTACGGTGGTTGCCTAAATTCTTACCACAGAGTAATGCCAGTGTGAATCCCATTTCGTGACACCCTGCCATGGCAGTCTCCAGAGCAGGGTGCCTGTTTGGACTGACTGTGAGGACTGTATGTCCTGCTCTTTGTTCCACAAACGGCTAGAAAGACTGCAGCAAATAGAGGAATAACCAGGCAAAAAGAAAAGGCCAGGCAGCTGAAATCTCTCCCTGCAAAACCATTCAGAGATGCTGCAGCTGCAGGGTGGCAGAGGAACCGCAAACCTTGCTTGCTGGGTTATCCAAGTAAGAAGGAGCAACAGTAACAATGTAAAGCACAGCGAGCTCCAGTCCTCCAGCTACCCCTACCAGAGGGTAGGTCCTCTGGCTATCTCTAACAGGCAGCTCCGATTAGAAAGTGGGGGTTTTTCCCTTCTGTGCCTGATTCCTACTGCTGATATTTTTATTTTTCTCACCAACAACTCTTGTTTTCTTGCCCTAACTAGCATTCACAGCACTCACCCACGGGATGGCATCAGGGTCTTGTCTCTCAGATCCCCACTGATGGAGGACTGACAGGAGCTGATGGAGGAAGTACCACAGCCCTCAATCAAGGGGGTCCTACTAAAGAAAATAAAGCAATATTGCAATTACCAAGAAAGGATCTCCAGACGGATTTGGGAGAGAGATCAAAGACCTTGATAGAGGAGAGGTGTCCTGGCACCCTCCCGGCAGGGCTGGATGCTCATGGCGGTGAGCGCCGAGGTGCTGGAGCAGCAGCTGGCAGTGCTTGCGGGTGCAGCACCTCCCGTGACTCACCTGTGCCTGATCCACACAGGCGAAGCCCCGAACTCCGCCTGCTCCCAGGCCGACTAAGAAGAAGGTAGCTCCAGGTCAGGCAAACCTCAGGCCTCAAGCCGAGGGCTTAATTTTCACCATTTGAAAAGCACTTCCTGGACTGTAGTTAATGAATAATCAGAGGGGTGGGGGAAGGCTAAGGCCTAGCTCGGAGAGGTAGATGGAGACGGAAGGGACCGACTCTCTTCCTGCCTCCCATCCACTGAGCTCACGCCCTCGCTGGCTGCATTCCTGCCCGGTTTGTAACTGAGAGCACAGAACGCAGAACCCGACGCAGCTCCCTCACACCTGGCTTGCAGCTCCCTGCAGGCTCTCCTAGGCCTGGCTCCTTCACTCTCAGCCCTGTCCCCCCCATTGCCAAAGACGTCAATTCTTCCAAGGGCAACAGGGACAAAGGGCAGGAGGCTACAAGCAGACATACCTGATATCCTTCTTAATCACACTGGAATGAAAACATTGCAAAGGAGTAAGGCTGTACAACTAGGTTGATCCCTCTGCAGTCCAAAAAAACTGAGATAAAAATTTCTTGTTGTTTATATTGTTTTAATCCAGGTTACAGCCAAATGGGGCAAGCCCAGCCCTCCCACGCTTGGCTGCTCCCTGCCGCATCTCTCTGCTGCCTTTTTCATTACGGATAATATGCTGGATTGAACATTCAGCCACAAAACAAGGCAACCACAGGCACTGGAGGAGGCAGGAGTAAATTACCATTGACCCTGCTGGGGGCAGGGCCCTCAATGGCACTTGCAGCACTTGCTGAACAGCATTAGATCGTGTTGAGGGACACATTTCCTAGTATGCTTCAAACATCTAAAAATGCTTGCCCTTGTAAAGTGCTTAATACCTGTCTAATAATCAGATCCTTGGGCTTCGCGCTGAGGCTCTGCACAAACCTTTTTGTAGAACATGGTACATACTGGGCCTCCCAAAACAGCATTGCAAGTGTCATGCAGAGAGCACTGCTGTACCTGCCTCTGCACCAGGGAGCAGCTCAGCTGAGCTCACGGCCATTTATAAAACACGGGCACTTTCAACACACATTTTATTCACGAGCAGACACACGAGTGGGCATGAAGCATCCCGTTCCTTCCAGATCCGCGTTTCCCTTGTACAAGTGCCCCATTCCCAGGGCTGACAGGACCTGCTCCTTGGGAGGAGAGCACCAGCCAGAGCACCGGCAAAACTCCGCGGGCTCAGGAGGCAGCAACACCGCCGGTGCCGGCCCCGTGCGGCGGCAGCGTCATGGGCGGCAGGAACATGGCCTTCAGCTTGCCCGACATGCTGGCGATCTCCGGGTCCTGCGACTCGTAGGACTTGATCAGCCGGGCGAACTTCAGGACGCCTGCAAGGAAAGGGGGTGGGCGGGACGCCCCGCTGCCTCGGCGGGCGCGGAGCATCCCGTCCGGAGGGGGAACAACCCACCTTCGCCGTCGCTGCTGAAGCCGTAGGCCTTGATCACGTCCTGCTGGATCTGCGTGGCCACGGGCAGAAGGAACTGCAGCATCTTGCCCATGTCATTGCAGGCGTTGTCCCGAGCCTCCTCCATGCGCTGCGCGTTTTCAGGCGCCCCGAACGCCTTGATCACCTCCGCCAGCACCGCTGCGGGACACGGGCACTCAGCCGCCCGCCGGCCTCCCGCATCCAGGTACTCGACACGGGCACTACGGCGGCGGCCTGCCCGGGAGACGGAACCTCCCGCACTCACCCTTCGCCTGTTCCGCGCTCAGCGCCGGCGGCACAGAAGGCTGCGCGGAGGCCGCCATGAAGAGCAGCGGTCAGGGCGCAGCACGGGGCCCGGCGGAGCGGGCAGCCGCCACAGCCTAGCCCCCGCCGGCTCGTCCCAGCCCCTGCGCGCCTGCGCATTCCCGCCCTCCTCTGCTCTGCCAGTGCACCGGTCTGTGGGAGCGGCTTCCCGCGAAGGCGGGAAACCTGCTGGACAAATTCTAAAAGAGCTGAAATCACTGCCAAGACTACCGCCCGTGCGAGAGCCCCCCCTGCACCGACCCACCCCTAGGTGAGGGCGAGGTTCTATCTTTGCTCCAGCCGTCTCCTCCGCGGGCTCTCGGTCTAATGCCGCCCGCCCATCCCACTCCGCGCTAACACCGGCGGTCTCCGCCGCCGCCGAACGGGTCCCGCCGCGCCGCCCGGGCTGTATGCAAATATATAATTTCTCATTGGTCCGCGGCGCGCACGCCCCGCCCCTCCCCGCGGTGGCGGAGCTCCTGCCCAGCAGTTCCCCCGCGCCTTTCCCGAGGCGGTGCCCACTTCCAGCTTCTCCCAGTTTCCACCCCTGTGAAAAACCCAGGAGTGTTTCTGCCCTTCCCGTCCTGGCCCCAGTGAAAAGAAATGAACACACCGGAGTCCCGTTTCTGGAAGGGTTTTTTTGTCTTTTTTTTTTCCTTTTTTAAGAGTTTCATATATATATTTATATATATAAATTATTAGAATGTGTGTCAAGGCTCGGGAGTGCGTGGGGAACGTCGTTTGGGTGGGTGTTTATTTTTTCTTTTCCATAGCTGGGTTGTTGGTTGTTTTTTTCCTTTAATGGTTAAGTAAATATATATATATATGGGGGACCAATCGAGAGATACAACTGTGAAATCAGAACACGCACGCAGGGGTAAGGAAGTCACAAGTTGCTACATAAAACTGCCACGTCTAATAGGATGTGCATGAGTTAAAGTACATCAATTAGGATGGGTGAGGGGAAAGGGGCAGCCACCATCTTACAGACAGTCCCAGGACGCAGTATTACCGCTCGGCCACGCCAGCTCTCCCCACGGGGCTCAGAGGGTCACGGTGGTAATGGCAATCTCCAAAACAGTCTGCTGGTGCTTCGCACCTCATGGCCGTGCCCGTTCCCATCAGCTGGGGAAAGCACAGCCACCGTCCTGCAAACAGTCCTGCGGTGCTTTGCACCCTGATGGCTGGGACCAGACCCTCCACAGGCAGGAGAGGCCGCTCAGGAACGGGCCTGGAACACTTTGTTTGCATCTGAAAGGACATTGGGAGAATGGGAAGCTGCTCTGGCTAATCTGAAAAAGTTCCATGTTGCTTTTCTGTATCGATGAGCAGTATCTTACACCTAAAGGGGGGTGGGGTGTCGAGGAGGCATCTTGAAAAAAGGTTCTTCTGGGTTTGCAGTTATTTCTCGGCCGTGCCTCCTCCTTGCAGAAGCAGAAAAGGCAGGAGCATCCTGTACATGAAGTCCGGCAATGCTCCGCACTTTTTATTTAATGCAACTGTTACCCCAAAACAAAGGATGGAGCTGCTGCCACCCTGAATTCACGTCAATCTTTGTCTTTCTGAGCTCTGTGCAATGCTGATTCTCTTTTCTTAAGAGCTCAGCTGAAATCACGTACCGATTGCTTCAGGTCCATTAATGTTGTTTCAGTCCCTCCCCATTTTCTCTCATCCACTTTTCCCAGGATGCCATCCCATACTTTTTGTCATCTTGTACTCTACTGCATGGTGAGATCAGGATGTGTCATTTTGCAGCTTCCCCTCCCCCAGGATTTGGTTGATTGATTTCTCCTCTTGAGAGAAAGACATGATGATGTCACACTGACAGTAGAAGTCCATTTAAAGGGGTTTGTCACTTTCCTTCTTCAGGTGGCTAGGATAAAAAAGAGGAACAAGGTGATAGCGAAAGGGAAAAAGTCAATTTACTAAGTTCCTCTGCCTTTGTTCATCTAGACCCATCCAACACTGCTGGCTTGGGAAGTTTTGTAGATCCTTGAAGTAGGAGATACTACTGAAAAGGTACAACACTGCACCTCTCTTTCCCAGTGTGCCTCCCCATGCACTTGTGAATGCCTTGTCTTGGCAAAACCATCAAACCCTTATGTTTTGTATTTTGGCAGGGGTATTGGTTAGTCATAACTGCATTAAGATGTGTGAAATGCATGTAAGTTATCTTCCCCCTCAGAGAGGACGAGCTGAGACCTCATAAGCCACTTGCCAAGTATGACCTTCCTGGTGGACAGCCACAGCTGTTGCCCTACGGCAAAGCGTCCCCATTCCCAGGGTGGGCTTGGGTACAGTCACCCGCTCCGGGGGCAATGCTTCCCTGCTCCCACTGCCTGTGCCAGCCCTGCACCAGGGCTGGGCCTGTAGGCGTTCTTGTGAGGCGAGAGCAGCTCCACGCACCTGTAGTAGTCCTCCTGCGTGGGAAGTGGGACACCGTGCAGAGGGTGGTGGGCGTGCAGCCACTGCTGCTGCTCCAGAGCCAGGCGCTGCAGCTCAGCCGACTGCGCGTGCATGGCCTGCAGCTGGTGTGCTGCCGACATGGGCGCCGAGAGGGAGCCCGGCAGGTCTCTGTAGGGTGCAGCTGCAGCCGAAGGTGACACAGAGAAGAGCCAAATTAATGCTCCATCCAAGGCCCCACAGCTCAGTCCCATTCCCACCCCTCCCCACGTGCAGGACCTGCTCATCCTGACAGCATGGGCCTGTCCTACCCTCTGTTCAACAGACCTCAGTTTGGTCCTGTGACCCCTCAGGACACCCCTGCCCTTCAGAACTCTGCTGATGCTCTTTGGAGGAGAACAGCAGCCCCTGTGAACTTCCTTACCAAAGAGCTGGTGGCGCAGCACTTCATTCTCATGGAGAGGGTGAGGCAGCAGAGGGTTGGGGATGGTTCCAGCTGGATATGGTATCCGGGTGAGGTGTGATCCCGAGGCAAGGGGGTCGATTAGAGGGTGAACGGAGGCTGAGGCTGGGAAGAAAAGATACCACAAGATAATTGTTCCAGGCTTTGTAGCAGGTAACACAGACAGGCACAAGGCCTCACAAAACGATATATGGAGAGAGAGGGTCAGAGTGTGTTAGGAACGGGATGATTTCACAGCTAATTTCAGTGTCATCTCTTTCCGGATGCTACTCTTTTTGCCTGCATTGAACTTCATGTGATCCAGTCCCATAGAACTCTGTCCCTACACTCCTCAGGAAGAAATACTACTCCTTCGAAGTACAGTTACTTAAAAGTTCAGCAGGGCTCCACAAGGACCTGCTCTGCAATCAGGTCTGCACCCCATATCATGTCTCTCTGTCACACCGACTGCTATTCACCTGCTTTCTGGCTGCTTTCTTTTCCAGGTCTTATCCAGGACAGATTATCTTTCTAGTGGTTTGGACTCACATCAAGAGCAAGGTGCCCAGCCATGGATCGTAGGGAAAATGGACATTCATTTGTACCTTGTGCCATCTCTGAGCTGTTGCAGCTGCTCAGAGCCAGCATCTGTGACTGACACCAGACCCCACTGACTGCTCACAGCACCTGAGCAGGCACAACACTCTTTTCCTATTGCACTGTAGCTTGGGCTTTGCTTCCCTGAGATTTTCATCCCTAAACCTTTTACTTTGCTTTCCTATAGGATGTGGAAATGGAAGGGACCACCATTCAATTCTGAAAAACAGCTGCCTCCAGTTCCTGACAATTAGACTGCCTCCTTTCCCATCCCATCCCATCCCATCCCATCCCATCCCATCCCATCCCATCCCATCCCATCCCACCGCACTATCTGCAGCCACAGGAGCAAACCTGAGAACCAACATTTCGTTAGTACTAAGGACACTGCCAAAACTTTTCTATCAGGGTTCCTGTTCCCTCTGCAGACTCCAGTCTATGGAATGCAGTTCACAACAACACACCCAGGTCGTCAGTGGGACTCCAGCACCTGTACTGTGGCCCCACAGATCCAGAACAAAAGGACAGACTGCTAACAATTTTGCTGGCCACTCATCAGCAGTGTCAGTGCCTTTGGTGGGATGGGAGTGGGGACAAGGAAGAATTACTATGATGTTGGGCTCTTCTGCCTAAGATCTATGGCCTCAAAATTTAGTCTTGTCAGCTTTTAGGGCTCCCCAGGGCCAGAGGGAGGGAATGCAAGGAAGGCACAGTAGGACAGAAATTAAGGCATTGTGTAGCGTACCATCACCATGGAGCCCTTACCTGCGTGTATGGCGTCCTGCTGGTGGAGATGGAGGTGGGAGTGGATGTGGGAATGCTGATGATGATGAGGTGTCACATTGAGCATCTGCAGTCGGGCCAGAGGGTCATTGCTGAGAGCAGCCACCCGCTCGGCATGCTGGCGTTCGGCCGCCAAGCGCTCGGCGTAGGACATGTCGGGACGAAGGGTCGGGCCAGCTGCCAGCGCCAGCCTCTCCCGCTCCAAGTGGCCCAGCCCTGGGTGGAAGGGAAAAGCGGGATGAAGGCCGGGGGCCGTCTGCAGACTCAGCCCACCGTGGCGTGGGAACGGATCCATGGCAGCAGCTGGCACGGCGTGGAGCTGCTCCAACTCGGCTGGTTTGACTTCAAAGCCAGGCTTGAGACGCTCACGCAGGTCCCGGTCCCTCAGGTCTCGTTCACGAGCCTCCCGCTCCCGCAGCTCCCGCTCCCGCGTGGCTGGATCGCTGCTGTAGATGGCTGGCACGTTGTAGCCCAGCAGGCCCGGGTCGACAGCGCCCAGGGGCACGTAGAAAGGGTGGTTGCGGTTGCTGGGGGACATGACGTGGGGCCGGGCGTACTCGCTAAGGGTGCGCAGAGCTGGGGTGTCAGGGCCCAGGTATGGGGGAACAGTCGCTACAGCACTGCCCTGCTCGAAGGAGGGGCGGTGGGGAACCGGCCCGAGGGATGAGCACTCGACCGGACGGCCCTCCTGGGCCATCTTCTGCAAAAGAGCAGAGAGACTGGCTTCAGGGTCCCAGCGGGGAGCGGCCGAGGGGGCCCTGGAGCATCCGTCCCGGCTGCGCTGCGGCAGTGGAACCCCCAGACCTACCACGCTCCTCTCCAGCTCCCGTTCCTTCTCCCGCTCCCG